AATATCGTCGACGTATACAGTAGAGTATTCTCTGTAGACTTTCGGATTCAAGAGATGTTGTAGACATTTCTCTTGATAGAAGTCTTTACTCATCACCATCAAGCCGAGATTTTTATCTGCAGGTTTGAAAATTAGATTTGGATTGGAAGCAAGCCGTCGAAGTGTAGGGAAGACGTTTTTCCGGATTATGGAGCGAAAAGTCTGATCAGCGACACTTCTGGCGACCGAGTCTCTGAAAACCGCTAGGACCGTCTCGATCTCGGAAGAAGCCGGAGGTGGAATCCAGTTAACTCGTCTGGGAAGTTTATAACCTGGATAGTCAGAAACGATATCAGCTCCTCCAAAAAGATACATCGTTCGAACAGTGTTCATAAAAGCCTGCAGCTCGGTATCTAAACTAGAAATGGTGTGGATGGGTGGGGTCGGTATGAATTTGAGCCCTAAACAAAGCAGTTGTAACTCATCGTGGGTATAGATATGGTAACTGAAATTGTGAAAGCCACAGTTGGCAACTCTGCAGCGCAACTGACTCTCAGTCTTCCGACCGAACAGGATCAGCGCATATGCGTGGACATCGTCCACTACTGCTGCTTCGTTTTTCCGCGGCCGAAACCTCCCCCGTTTTTTGCCAGTGCAGAATCACGCGGCTGCTGATGAGAGGCATTGCGTCCCACCGTCTTCGCGAAAGAGCGCCCTATAGTCTGGACCGCATGCGTCGTCGCGTCGTCGGCGTTCTTCTTCCCAGGACTGATGTTGTTCGTCTTCTTCCCCTTGCCGCTGCTGTTGCCCTTTCCCTTTTGGGACTGGCTCTTCTTCTTGGCGGCAACACTGTGGTTGACATTAAAACCGCTCTAATACTTCTTTCCGCATTTGCCATTCTGCTTCTTCTTCTTGCCGTCGGACCACTTAGAAAGAGCCTTCTCGACTTCTTGTTTAGCAATCTTTCGGACAGAGTCATCGACGGGAAGATTCTCTGCTGCGTCCGTCGCGGTGGCTTTCTTCTCATCGATTTCCTTTTTTTTCTCCTTCAGGTGCACTTCAGAGAGGTTAGCATCCATGACAAAAATGGACATTGAATCCTTGAATTCAGCAATCACCCAATCCTTGAAAACAATCAGGTGCTTTGTTAGTTTCGAATTCTTGGTTCCAATGTCTGTCTTCTTAGCCAGGTTGATGTAGTTCGCAATCTGGTCTTGCAAACGGAGGAACACAACGACTGCCTCGTTGCGAGCTTCGTCATCGGCTTTCTTTTTCATGGTAATAAGAATGTCTTGAGCTGCCTTGCAGTAAGTGTCGCAGGCCGTGGCAAGATCCTTGTCAGCTTTCTGGCGGAGCTCCTCAGAATTGCAAATGAAATTAAAAGGTTTGATCCTGATGCTGTGGGGAATAATCCCATTAGCCTTCTGCTCCGTCATGAAAATACATTGTTGATGAAGAGTCCGGTATTTCATAAAACTCCTTCTTAAATCCTTTGCAGCTTGATTCTTAAAGTTGTTCAGACAAGTGGGAGTTGCCTGGTTGTCAAGAAAATTGTTATTAAGGTCACCAAGAAAATTGAAAGAGTCGGTCATGACGATGTCATGAATCTCGTGAACAGGTTCTTGCATCGACGCAGCCATGGTTGCAGGTTCCATCGCAGGCCTACTGGCAGGCTCAGGAGAAAAACGAACTGCTGGAGCGTCGATTGTCCCAGGAAAAAATTCGAGAGGAAACTCCCGAGCTCTCTTCTTGTTAGAGCGAGAAATTGGAGACTCTGGTGTGTCTTTGATTTCCACCAACTCTTTATCTTTACGAAGGCGCCTCGGGCTTTGAGTCCTCGAGATTCGTGCAGATCATCAGAGCTGGTTAGACTTGGTGACATTGGTGTTGGTGTCAGTGTCGGTTGCATTAAAAGCATTGAATTTGTAGTTGGCCATCACAATAGTATCAGGTTTGAGTCCGATGGAACACCAGTTAAGTGCCATGTTGTCAATACGTGGCAGCAACTATGTAGCGACACCTGTGAAAGCTAGTTTGAGTGTTTGTAAGACTCGTGAAAAAAAATTGAAATTGGCGGTAATCGGTTTCGGCTCGAAGCCTTCTTCAGACCATAGGGTCCTAATGAGAACAAACACTACTTACTGTATATGCCTAGAAGATGTCGCCCATGATTCATCTCGAGCGGGGAAACCGTCGCGGAGAAAGTGGGGACGCAACAAAAAACGAAATAAGGGCAAACAGTAAAAACTATTGTATTCTAGCACTTATGAGCAGAAACTAAAAAGTTCCCAATTCTCTTTGGCAGCCTCCATGCGATAATAGCTCTCCTTGAAGTGAAGGTGTTGTGTGACATTGTAACGAGGTGACTTTTGAGTCGACTCAAAAGTCACCTCGTATCCCATTGCACTTGCTGCAATGGGGCAATATCAGCGTACTAAAAACTTCCTTTTCCTTTTCCTGTGCGCTTGCTGCAGATTCCTTACGTCGGAATTAATTAATTCCTGTCGACGACCGCCAAGCGCCGGCTGAATGGGCTTGTCATGCTTACGTGGATGCTGGTTGTTCTACCTATGCGTCATGCGAAAAAATGTGAGCCATTTGCGCGGTTCAGTCATGTACCAATGATGAAATTCCATGGCGTTGCCACCGGCCGCTTCTACTTCTAATCGCGTTTCGTGGTCTGCCTTGAGTTTGAAGGTCCGTTGTCTTCTCAACGGACCATTGGCGATGCAGATCTGAAGCCTTGCGTAAACTAGCTAGCCCATGATGTTGACATAAATTGTTATGATTGGTTCTATACACGTGACTTCTAATGTATTTGTAACCGTAATATTGGAATAGAGGTTATCTGACCATCAAACTACTAGCGAGATGGGTGAACGTCTGCACGGCCAGCTGGTCAGGGGTACCAAGGTATTTTAAGAGTTTGGGTTACAGCCTTGAGGAGATCGACGGCGTATGATGCGCATTGACCCTGATCGACAGCCAAAACATCATGCCGAGGCGGTGGACTCTGGTAAACCCTAAGATAAAGGGTTCAGTTCATGCGTACAGCTGGTGGAGAAACCGTGGGGGCGCTGCTAAAGGACGCCGTGACGCCTGGGCATTTTTACGGTTAATTGTGAAGCGGAGTTACGGTATTTACTAAGTGTCAAGTGGTTCCGACATTTTCGGCGAGTTTGAGGAGCAGCTCAAGAGTTTACAGCTGAAGTTGTGCCCGCCATCTTCAGGGGTAGGAGTGACATCGGCCGACATTTGCGGAGTGTTTTGGTTATATGGCGTAGAGGGAGAGCAGTAGCATTTTCGGCTCTTCCCGAAATTTTCGGCGTGTACGGACAAAGAAGCTAATGCAGCTGACGTCATTTGAAATCGGGTTCTGTTCGAGGCTATTCACGGGAGTGGTTCGGTCCAGGTTACAGGTCATCGCCATCGTCGCCAGCCTCTCGCCACCACCCGCTACCACCTCCATTCTCACTTCACCCGTCTGTGTGAACACGACCCCGCCGCATCATCGCCACCCATCAGGAGCAGCATCAGATTTACAGGAAACTTGGCGGTAGTATTGTTGGAGCGGTGTTGGGGCCAGCTCGCAAGCAGTGTTTGACTTCTGAAAATTTCTGAGTTCGTGTAAGAGTCTTCTGGAGCTGGAGTTGCAAAATTTCCCGACTTTCGACGCGGTTTACCCTGACGACACTTAACCTGGAGCGTAGTTTTGCAGCGTCATTTTGGAGGCTGCGTATCAGAATTTTCAGCAGCGCCTAAACTGGAGCGGATCTTGAAGTCATCCTGATTCGCGTTTTTCGTGGCTGGGATATATTTCACCGGCATCTTGGAAGCCGAGTTATGGGATTTTCAGCAGCAGCGTGAGATTATTTCGACGCCCCTAGAGCCTAGGGGTTTTCTGGCGTTTTATCTGGGAAATTGGGAGCTGTTTTCTTTTGGAGGGGGGAGAAGGGCAGCTGTGTTGCAATTTTCCGACGACGCTTCCGGCGTGTTCCATTAACCATTTTCGACCGACATTCGTCATCGTTACGCTTCCGCGCCTGATTTCGTCAATTCATTGATGGAGTTCGCGGACTTTCGTGGGACACGGACGCGTACTTTCGCATGTGACTTGAACGACCTCGCGTTTGATGAACGTGTCCTTCATTTCATCGACCACCACATTATTCGCCCGTCATCATTTCAAGAAATTCAGCTGCCATGCGCTATCATCAATCGACCACTTGACGGTTTCACTGTTCATTGTCTTCCGCTGGAGTATTTACCCTTGCCCGTTTGGTTACTAGAAGAATTCGACCAGCTTCAACGACCGAGATTAAAAGCGATCGTTTTGATGCTTTTTGACCATCGATTTCAGTTCGACCTCAAGACCTCGTCAGGCCGGCGTAGTCATTACGCTCGTCATAGGACTTAAGACTTACAGTCACTTCGGGGACTAACTTAAAAGGTTCGACATCGATGAAGGGAGTGCCTTCCTTACTGGGGCTCGCCACAGCGAGTACACACGAACATTACGCGTCCGCAGGCTCGGCCCTTGGTTATCACGCCAAACCAGCCCCCGTCGACCTTTTCGGCCCCAACCTGATCCCGAGTCGCCCCGAACCCATTTTGACCCCGTCACCCTTAGACAGTCGAGCCCTGACTGCTCCAACCCTCGACATTCAACCTGGTCAACTCGCACTATATAAGCCCTAGGTCTCATTTGGATAGGACACTGAGTAATCACGTTCCCCTTATTGTTTTCAGCGCTATACTGTGAGTTATAATTCATAACATTCTAGCTGTTTGGATTCTAGGGAGATGTTTGTCTGACGACTTTTGATCTGGGTAAAATTTAGTCGTTTCCTCGCCAATCCAGCTGCCTCCCACTCCCCAGCTTGCGGCCTCAGGGCAGGGCGCTTCCAAAGTACCGTACTTGAAATAGCTGCAAAGTACCGAACCTGTAGCAAGCTGCAGCACGCTGAGCAGCACCGGAAACCAAAAACGAAACCTTTGTAAGTGCCCTAACTCTCACTCAGGAGGCCTTAGCAACGGGAACTGCAGAGAGGCGAGGGGAGGAGAGGAGAATGCATGGACGGACGGACACCCTTATCCACGGGGGGGGGTTTTGATTCAGTCGAGTAGACCTAATTGGTAGGCGAAACGCGATCGATAATCGACAATGGACGGGTCGCATCGCCGCGGCATCGTCGCACTCCTCCTCGTAGCAGCGTTTGCGCTTTCGTGGCCTCTAACGGCTAGCACGGCTGCCGTGAATCTCAATCCGGCGCAAGGTCGGTTTCGCCCGTAAATCTGTTACGTAGGTAAGTATGGCGCAATGTCGGTCAATCGCCGCGTCGCTGGTTTGATCATGTCTGCCAGCGCAGCTGTCAGCTGTCAGCCCGAGACGCCCGTAAGCTTCTAGAGAGGAATGACTCTACTAGGAATTCACGTTCTTGAGGTTGATCATGTCAGCTGTCAGCTGTCAGGTTCCGAAACGCCCGTAAGCTGTCCGCCTGAGACGCCCGTAAGCTTCTGGAGGAATGTAACATTTCGGGAATTCTCGAAAGGTGACTCTACTAGGTATTCACGTCCTTGAGGTTCGCATTGTAGCCGCCGCTCTCTGCACTTCGGCGCGGAGTGTGTTTTGTTAGTATCGTTACAAAACACGCGTCGGCATTGTAGCGCTAATTGCGTGCGGATGATGCACTCCCCAGATGATCGGGGCTCTATCCCGAGATCCTATGCGGCAGTAGTGTAGACGGGACCCAGGGTACTCGTGATATAAGGTTTGGTTTGAGACGTCTCAAAACAAAACTTTTGTATGCCGAGATCCTATGCGGCAGTAGAGTAGACGGGACGGGACCCAGGGTACTCGGCTGGTTGGTACGTAGGGGGGGGGTTGGCCCAGCCCGCTACATGGGCGGGTGCCGCGCCCATGGTGTTGTGGCATTGTGGGCATCATAGGGTAACCCTCCCTCGGTGTTGCGTCGGTGCAGCCATGGTGGGTGCGGGACCCGTCTGGGCCGAGGGAGAGGGGCTGAGGGAGAGGGGCCGAGGGATAGGGGCCGTCCGCTTTCTGGGTAACCTCTAGTATCCAGTCAATGTCGCCTCACTGGGTCCTTGAGCATTGTCGCCTCCACGTCGCAACGGTCTTGCCGCCCAGTAGGGAGTCGGTGGAGTAGATCGACCCTGTGTTTATTGGGATGGGACGAGGGCGAGAGAAGGCCCTTTCCTAATCCGTCGCACTGTGTCCTCTCATCCGTTGCACTGCATCAGGCTCGTTGAAGCCATAGCAACCATCCCAGACTTCCCCATCCTACCGCCTCTGTCTCCCCAATCTCTCTCCCCACACTATCCTCCCCCCCCACCCCCCCCTCCTCCCCTTTCCTGCTTCCCCTTCCATTCACACTTGCACCTCTCCCCCACCCCCCCCTCGCCCTCCTCTGTGCGCGCGCAACATGACCCCTCTGCGTCCCCCGTTGTCCCCCCAGCGGCGGTGCTGAGGGAGTGCCAGCAGCAATGGGCGGTGCAGCTGCCCGGGTGGGCCACGGCGGGGAACTGCACCGCAGTGCCTGGCGCGGATTGCGACTGCGCCACAGTGTATGGCGTCCAGTGCGACGCTGACGGCTCAATCGTTAGCATGTGAGTGAGTGAGAGCGGTGCATTGGGGGTGACTTTTGAGGCGACTCAAAAGTCTGCGCCACAGTGTCTGGCGCGGTTTGCGACTGTGCCGCAGTGCATGGCGTCCAGTGCGACGCTCATGGCTCGGTCGTTAGTGTGTGAGTGAGAGCGGTGCTTTGGGGGCGCGGGGAAGGCGGAGAGAGAGGGGGGGGGGGAGAGAGGGGGGAAAGGGGGGGAGGAAGTTCGGAGGTGGGGGGAGGGGAAAACGGGCGGGGGGCATGGATGTGGCCGTTAGAGGGAGAAGGGGAGGGAGGGAATGGGATGTTGAACTTTGTGGACGGGTGGTGTTAAGAACAATAGCGGGCGGGGGGGCATGCAGCTTGGTGGGAGGGAGGGAGGACATGAGCTTGCTTTCTGCCTGCCATCTGGTCGCGCCCCACTACCCATGCCGCGTGACACATGCCCCAGCCCATGACCCAAATCCTATGCCCCATGCCATGCCCATGTCCCCATCCCTCCCTCCATCCCTCCCCTCCCTCCCATCCCTCCCATCCCTCCCTCCCTCCCTCCCTCCCTCCCTCCCTCCATCCCGCCAGGCACGTGACTGAGCAGCCTCTCAACGGCCCTGTACCCAGTGTCCTCGGCGAGCTCACCACTCTCACATATCTGTATGCCATGCCGTGCTACTGTTCCATTTGCTGTACTACAGTACCATGCCATTGCATGCAATGCCATGCCATGCCATTGTTGAATGCCATTCTATCAAAAGTGTGTGAGTCTGTCTGCATGTCTGCTACACTTAAAATACTCCACTCCACTGCCCATCTTCACTCCCAGTAACCTCTCTGCCGTTCCCCCTCCCTCCCACCATCCCCTCCCGTCCCTCCTCTCAGCCGTATTTCAAAAACCGACCTCATTGGCTCCATCCCAGATGGCCTCTCTAGCCTAGTGCGCTTGCAGCACTTGTGAGTGGTAGGACATGGCTTTGTGATCGCCGGACATGGCTTTGTGATGGCAGGGCATGCCTTAGTGATGGCAGGGCATGCCTTAGCGATGGCAGGGCATGCCTTAGTGATGGCAGAGCATGCCTTAGTGATGGCAGGGCATGGTAGGGTGAATTGTCCTGTGGAAGCATCCTATGAAGTCAAATCACATACAACATCTCTCCAGAGCTCTGTACGGCTTCTTGGGCCCTGCAAGCTGCTGCTCGTGCACTTCCACGCCACCCTCGCTTGCTCTCACACATGTGTGTTGGGTCATCGCCATGGCATGGCCTGTTTGACTGGAGTTGCCTGTTGACCGATGACTGTTGACTCTTTGACTCTTGACTCTTTAACTGTTGTCTCGTTGGCTGTTAACCGGTGGGTGGGGGCAGGGATCTGAGCTACAACAGCATTACAGGGTCCATTCCCCAGGCCATCTCGAGCCTCACCAGTCTCACGGTGCTGTGCGTCTCATCCCTCCTCCTCACCCTTGCATGCACCGCGTTCTCTTGCCTCATACATGCACTATGCCATGTCGAGCCTCACCGATGTTGTGGTGCTGTGCGTCGTCTCTCCTCTCCTCTTACCCTTGCACCGCGCTCTCTTGTCTCATACATGCACTATGCTATGCGCTGCTGCCCCACTCCACCTCTCAAACCTCCCATGCCGCGCTCCAGTCCACCCACCGACTCCATGCCATGCAGTCACCACCCACACGTCCCTCCCACCTGCTCATTCTCTTCCCTCCCATGCAATCAAGATGGAGGACGCATCATGCATGCGCTTCTCTGAGTGTGTCCTTTGTGTCTGTTGTGTAAGTGTGCATGCATGCATGCGTTTGAAGGAGTGGAAGGGGGTGGGAGGTGTGTAGGGTGGGGTTTGAGAAAGGGGTGAGCAAGCATGTTTATTGGGGTGGGAGAGGGGGGGGATACTGTCTGCGTGCACGCTTTCACGTGCTTGTGTGTGTATGTTTGTAAGAGAGAGCGTCTGTGTGCATGCAGGGGACTCAGCTACATGGACTTAACAGGCCCCTTTCCATCATGGATAACTGCCCACGTCAGACTGAACTACGTGTGCGGATTCATCCCTTCCCTTTCACCTTGTGTTTGTTCTGTCACTGCTGCTGCTCATCTCTGTGAGTGATGGCTAGCACACTGCCTGCGGACGTCACACTGTCGCACTGTCGCATATGAACTACATGTTACATGTGCGGATTCCTCCTCCCCTCCCCTTCTAACCCTTGCTGCATTCTGATTTTCTGTGGTGCCACTGTGCATGCATGCAAGCGTGCTCTCGCGAGCAAAAACACACACACATACATTCACACACACACACGCACGCACGCACACACACATAAAGGCACATGCACACACATACAACGAGCAACTTTCCCAGCACTCGTGTATGTACTCACCACCCCCCTTCCCCATTTAGCTAGAACTTTCCAGAACCAACTCCTCAAGTTGGTCTCAAGTCATGGCACACGTGCCTGCATCCCTGCCTGCCTGCCTGCGGGGCCCACCCACATGCCCGTGCATGCCGCCCTGCGTCTGGTGCATTGCAGAAGCCTGGTGGGCAACCGGATCAGCGGATCCATGCCGGAATCACTTGGCAGCGTTATCAACCTCAACGTCTTGTAAGCTCCTTCCCTTCCCGCTGCCATCATGTGCCGCCCATGCCTTGTGGCGTGCATTTCCACATCAAGCACACGAACAAATCGAAGAAATTTGTGCCCATCTCCATGACGTATCTGCTTTCACCTCCCTCTCTCCCCCCGCCTTTTTTCTTCTCTCCATCGCATTCCATGCATGCGTGTGTGTGTCGAAAACGCTCTGTGATGGGTGAGGGATGACATAGTGTTCTATGCATGTTTGCCTGCCTGTAGTCATGCGACCCATGCCACGCTACCCATATCGCATTACCCATGCCACATTACCCATGCCACACTACCCATGCCACACTACCAACCAATGCCCAATTACCCATCCCAAAATACGCATTACCCGTCCCACCTAACCCGTTCCACATTACCCATCCCGCATGACCCATGCCATGTCACCCCGCCGCAGCAACCTGGCCACTAACTTCTTGACCGGCTCCATTCCCCTCAGCCTCTCCCGCTTCTCGCTGCTGCAGATCCTGTGAGTCACGGTGCCACCTACCATCCAACACGTGTATGGGTGCATGGTATGGGACTGTGCATGCATGATCGAGTCGGGCATGCAAGCTGCACCCAGCCATGCGTGCCTCTTGGCTCTAGTCTGTATGGGCTTCAGTATGCAGGCCGCGTTGCCCTGTGCCATGTTTCTGTTTCTGCACCAAGCTGTACCAATCTCTAACCCTTGGCTTGTATTGCAGGCCGAGCTGTATTCAGTTCCGTGTGGGCTGCAGCATGCATGCTCATCACATGCTTGCCTGCATGTATGCATGCATTGTGTGCCGGTTCTTCCCTGTGTGTATTATGGTTGCTTGCGTGCCTGCTTGCTCGTTTGCCTGCTTGCTCGTTTGCCTGCATGGCGCACAGGGATCTGGGAGACAACAAGTTGAACGGACCGCTGCCATCCTGGATCACGCGGATGGCCACTCTAGAGAAGCTGTGAGTGCTCTCCTCGCCCCTCTAGCACACCTGTGAGTGCTACTCCTTTCCCTCAGTGCTTCCTGCACAGCAGTGTGCAATGTACGTCCTGTGGCAGCAGATTGTGCCTGCCATCATCACCCAATCGGTGCGGCTGACTCTCATTCGTATACCACACCTCACCATCCACATGCCTGTCCCTTGGGGTGTTTTTGTTGCCTGTCTGTCACTGTCATCACCATCATCATCATCATCATCATCATCATCATCATCATCATCATCATCATCATCATCATCATCATCATCATCATCATCATCATCATCATCATCATCATCATCATCATCATCATCATCATCATCATCATCATCATCATCATCATCATCATCATCATCATCATCATCATCATCATCATCATCATCATCATCATCATCATCACCATCACCACCACCATCACCATCATCATCACCATCACCATCATCATCACGACCACCATCACCACCACCACCACCATCACCGTCACCATCACCATCACCATCACCATCACCACCACCACCACCACCACCACCACCACCACCACCACCATCACGATCACCAACATCATCATCATCACCATCACCACCACCATCACCATCATCATCACCATCACCACCACCATCACCATCACCATCACCACCACCATCACCATCACCATCATCATCACCACCATCATCACCATCACCACCACCATCACCATCACCATCATCATCATCATCACCATCACCATCACCATCACCACCACTTTCACCACCACCATCACCATCACCACCATCATCATCATCACCATCACCATCACCATCACCATCACCATTACCATCACCATCACCATCACCATCACCACCACATCACCATCACCATCATCATTTCGCTGTCAATGCAGTGACTTGAGCCGCAACAATTTCGCCGGCTCCCTGCCTGCTGGCCTAGGCAGCCTGCAGCAGCTCACGTACCTGTGGGTGCTGTGTGTGTGGACTTCTGTTCTGTGCTGATATTTGTGCTCTGTTGACTTCTGTGTTGTGTTCCTTCTACACCTTAGATTTGCACTCCGTTGCATCTGCCGCTTCCATCCTGCACTCGTGCCTGACATGTTGCCTACGTCGCCTCACACTCGTGTGTTGCCTACCTCGCCTCACACTCGTGCATGCACACCCATTGCACTCACAGCTCATCCCTTAACCTCCCTCACCACACTACACTCTCTCCCACCCCCTTTCCACATCCCCCACCCACCAGCAACGTGTCTGGCACATCGCTCGCCTGCCCTCTGCATGCCTCCACCTGTGTGGTCTCCCAGTCGAGTGCCTCTCCCTTCTGCCTCCAGTGCCCCTCCTTCTGCTCCTCGTGCTCTTCTGCTGCTGCAGGTGCGCCGTGCAGGTCAATGGCAGCCAATGCAGGTTGCCAGTCAATGCAGGTCAATGCGAGTCAATGCAGGTCAATGGCAGTCAATGGAGGTCAATGGCAGTCAATGGAGGTCAATGGCAGTCAATGCAGGTCAATGGCAGTCAATGCGGGTCAATGGCAGGCAATGCAAGGCGACGTCAAGTTGGCAAACCCATGAATGACTGACAAGGCCAGCTGCTGCCCATGCATGCAGCTGTACTGTGTGAACTATTTCATGTGTCAGTCTGCATGCTATCTCTGCTTCACTGCCCTTCTTTAGCCCTGCAGGCACAAATGGCGGATTAGAATTCTGTGAACATATTCACATCCGGGTTTCTCTGCGTGCGTGTGTGCGGATGTGTGTGAAGAAGAAGGGTACAAGGGGGCCTGGGACACAGATTGAGTCCAACAAACGCTACCCCTACATGTTTCCCGTTACTCTTATTTCCGCTTCTGACCTGAGATACTCTCAAGCTGAAACTGTAGGCTTTCTTCAGAAAACAACCACTCTATCTCAATTTAGCAACCATTCTGTGACACGGCAAGCCTATCTCCTCCTTTCTGTAGCTTACACCCCTCTTCACTTGTGCCCTCCCCATCTACCTCCCTCCCTCCCCCCCACCCTCCTCCCTCACTCTCTCCCACCATCCCCGGCGCTGCTCACTGCTAGAGGCAGCCTCGTCTGCCCCGGGCATGGGCGCCGCCCCCACGGCCTGCCAGCAGTTCCCCCTCGACGTGGTCACCACCACCACAGGCGACTGGGCCGAGTGCAACCTGCTGGGTTCGGGGGGCTTTGGCGAAGTGTACAAGGGCGTGTCGCCCCTCGATGGCACCTCGCTGTGGGCTGTGAAGCGCGCCAAATCGATCACCACCGACTTCAGGTGGGAGGTGCACGGGGCGTGGAGGAGTGAAGTGGGTGGAAGTTGGGGGTTGGGAGCTCTGAGTCAACGCAAAGGTCTCGTTTGGGGGAGAGCGGGCGTTGGTTGGCAGTTGGGTGGTAGGGCGGAAGGGCAGAAGGGCCAGTGTTTGGGGTGGGTGGGTGGGTGGGTGGGACAACGTGGCAGCTGTTCCGTCATTTTGACGATGGGAAGTTGGAGAATGTGAACAGTCGTCTCGTCTGATAGGGAGATGAAGGGGCATGACTGTGTTTACTTTCTCTTTTTCTTAATGTTAAAAAACAAAACACATCCCAACCATCACTGGCAGTCCAGCTCCATATCCTCTTCCCTCCTTGTCTGTCTGCTGCAGGTGGGCCAGATGGCGTCGAAGCACCACCCGAATCTGGTGCGGCTGCTGGGGTTTGCAGTGGGCGGCGATGTGAACACTCGCGTGGAGAACGTTCTCGTCTACGAGTTCATCGCCAATGGCGACATGAAGAGGTGGATGGGGCCAGGTACTTCCATCCTACTACTGTAATTTAGGAGGATCAGCGACGCCGTGTATTGTTGGTGGTTGGTGTTTGGGCTAGGCATCATGAGTCATGACTGGAGCTTGTATGCCGTTGCTTTGAGCTGCCAACTTTGACTATGTCTCCTCCTCACCCACCTGCCACTACCACCAGACGCCCCTGCGGTCCTGACCCTGCAGCAGCGGCTGCACATCTTGGTAGGGGTAGCGCGGGGGTTGGAGTACCTGCACAAGTTTGGCATGGTGGATCGCGACATCAAGCCACCCAACATCCTCATTGATGAAAACATGCAGGTGAGGCAGGGGTGGTGATTGATGGGTGAGGCTGGCAGCCCATATGGGTGAGGCTGGCAGCCCATATGGGTGGGCTTGTGCCACATACACAGGTGGGGCGATGAGGCTGACTTCAGTTGAACAACATGCATGGAATAAACACTTCGTAGAACGTTCAACTTCTACAGGTAGGAATAAGCTTCCGATGCTTAGCATGGCAGGGTGTTTTTCTGTCGGATTGCTCTCAGCGGTTTTCCTATTTTCCCTCTTCTTGCCTCCCAGCCCAAGGTGGCAGACTTTGGGCTGGTGCGAGCAGGGACGTCACGGGCTTGCATTCCACACGACTGCTTGGCACGGTGGGCTACATGGACCCGGCGTACACCAGAACGCACAACGTCACCACCGCCACGGATCTCTACAGGTCGGGATGTGCACAACACCACCACTGCGATCCCTGCCATCCCTGCCCCCCGTCTTTTTTCTCCATGCTTCCCATGCTGCCTCCCCTCAGGTCTCTGAAGTCGTTACCATGCACCTCCTCCCCCTTTCCATTTGGTTTGCCTTGCTTTCTCTCTCTCTGTGCAGCTTTGGCATCCTCATGCTGGTGATGTTGTCAGGCAGAGAAGCCGTAATCACCACCAAACACAAGCAGGACGATGGCTCCAACTGTCATGCAGATCACAACGAGGACCCCATCACCATTCTCCAATGGGTGCGAACTTCACTTCTTCGCCCTCCATTCCCTCTGTCTCTCTAGCTATATCTTGCGCGGCTATGCGTGCCGCCGCCTTTCAGACCTTTTTTCCCCTTCTTCCGATTTTACAGGCAACGGAGCTTATGTCGGAGAGCAAAGTATCGAGTCTTGGGGACCCGCGCATGGCAGCAGTGCCTGAGGCCATCATCTCGCGCCTGGCCCAGCTGGCCATGGCCTGCACTGCAATGCCCACGGCCTCGCGCCCCTCCATGTCGCAGGTGGCGCAGGACCTGGAGGCGCTCCGGGCGGACATGGGCGGGGGGGATACAAGAGCAGAGGGAGCCGCGCTGGTGGACGAGAAGATGGTGGGTGTGCGCCCAGTGAGGACCATGGATGAGGATCAGGGCCTCAGATTGGTTTTGAGGTACCCTGATTGCTCAGGGTCCCCCCTGTCAAACATGTTTATTGATCATGTTTGTATAGACTGTATAGGGTAACCTCCTAGAGGGTACAACATTTAGGTATATGTGCATGTACTCTCTAACTCATATCATTATTCATTCTAGTTTTGAGATGGTATCAGAGCCGGTCGTGTCCACCGGACCCTCTCCCTACGTTCCCGTTGCGTACTCCTGCATTCGCAGCCTTCGCGGTTTTCTGCCTGCCTGCCGTCGCGGCACTAAGATGTCGCGACGGCCCCTTGTTGCATGCCGTCGCGGCGCCAGGATGTCGCGACGGCCCCTTGTTGCCTGCCGTCGCAGCACCAAGATGTCGCGACGGCCCCTCGCTGCCTACCGTCGCGGCGCCAAGGTGTCGCGACGGCCCCTTGGTGCAGCCGTCGCCCGTCCGCCTCGCCGCTGCGACATTGACGGTGCGCTGTGGCGGCGTCTGCAGCAGCCGACGGCATCGTCGGGCTGCGGCCGGCCGAGCGACGTCTGTGGCGTCGCCGGGCCTGCCGCCCGCTCGCCAGCCACGGGCGTCCCTCAGGACGACGTCCTCCCGCCAGTAAGCGCCGCGCCATTTATGGCGCGTCGCTGAAGACTCGCCCCACCCCCCCCCCCCCCCATTCTCCCTTCCCCCTGCGTCTTCCCCTCCTCCTGTCGCAGCTGCTGTCTTCTGCCCGGACGTTGCCACATCACCGAGAGCCCTCAGCCGCGGCGGTCGCCGCCTGTTGTCGGCGACCCAGCCGCCTTGAGCCAGAGCTCCGCCGCTGCTTGTCGCTGACCCGCCCAGACGCCGTAGGCTGCCTCGTGTACGGGGGTGTGTCAACGCTTTGCACGAGGGTCAGATACCCGGCTAAGCACGAGCTTGAGGGTGTGCGGGGTTAGGGGGTGGGTTGGGTGGGTGTGCGACTACCAAGCCTAGGGGGTGTGTTAAAATTATATAAGTTATAATTTAATATAGGCTTGGTAGGTTGTTACTGAACCTTTCTGTAGGGGGTACAAACCCCTCCTTGTACTCCCCTCTCTTCCTAATCGAGTCCTTCTTTCTCGTCACTTTTGCCTACCCCTAGATAAACTTCTCCTCACGATATTCCATGGCGTCACTTCTAGTATCCTAGCCAACCTAGCCTCCTAAGTTTAAGAGGCTCGTGTCCTAAGTTTCTAAGATGGTATCACGCGTAGGTTTCGACCCCCCCCCCCCAACCTACCGCTTCCGCTCCTCCCGTCGCGTCTCCTAGCCTAGCCTCGCCCCTCCTGAGCCCAGTCGCGACCCCCCCCCCCTAGCCCCGTTGTGCTCCTCTCAGGCCTCGTCGCGCCCCTTCCAGGGCCTCGTAGCGCCCCTCTAGGCCCCGTCGCGCCCCCCTTCCAGGGCTTCGTAACGCCCCTCCAGGCCCCCGTCGCGCCCCTCCTGGGCTCTGTAGCGCCCCTCCAGGGCCCCGTCGCGCCCCTCCTGGGCCCCGTAGCGCCCCTCCAGGGCCCCGTCGCGCCCCTTAGCGCCCCTCCTGGGCATTGTCGTGCTCCTCTCAGGCCCCGTCGCGCTCCTTCCAGGCCCCGTCGCGCTCCTCCCAGGCCCCGTCGCGCCCCTTCCAGGGCCTCGTAGCGCCCCTCCAGGCCCCGTTGCGCCCCTTCCAGGGCTTCGTAGCGCCCCTTCTGGGCTTTGTCGCGCCCCTCCTGGGCTTGGTAGCGCCCCTCCCAGGCCCCCGTCGCGCCCCTCCCTCAGCCCCGTCGCGCCCCTCCTGGGCCCCTTAGCGCCCCTCCTGGGCCCTGCCGCGCTCCTCCCTGGGCCCCGTAGCGCCCCTCCTGCGCCCCGTAGCGCCCCTCCTGGGCCCCGTCGCGCCCCTCCTGGGCCCCGTCGCGCCCCTCCTGGGCCCTGCCGCGCTCCTCCCTGGGCCCCGTAGCGCCCCTCCTGGGCCCCGTCGAGCCCCTCCTGGGCCCCGTCACACCTGCTCGGCCCCGTCGCCCCAGCTCGGCCCCGTCGCAGCCGCTCGGCCCCGTGGCGCCTGCCCGGCCCCTGTCGCACCCCGCCCGGCCCCCGCCCGGCCCCGCCCCCCGTCACGCCCGCCCGGCCCCGTCGCCCTCGCCCGGCCCTGCTGTGTCCTGCCCGGCCCCGTCGCAGCCGCCCGACCTCGTCGCTGCCGCCCGGCCCCGTCGCAGCCGCCCGGCCCCGTCGCAGCCGCCCGGCCCCGTCGCAGCCGCCCGGCCCCGTCGCGTCTGCCTGGCCCCTCGTCGCGCCTGCCCGGCCCCGTCGCGCCTGCCCGGCCCCGTCGCGCCTGCCCGGCCCCGTCGCGCCTGCTCGGCCCCGTCGCGCCTGCCCGGCCTCGTCGCGCCTGCCCGGTCCCGTCGCGCCTGCCCCGGCCCTACATACTTCCTGGTACTGTCCCCCGTTCCCCGCACCGCTTTGCACCCTCCTGCACTTCCCTGCCCCGCCTTGCACCGCATTGCACCTCACTGGACCGCACTGCACCGCACTGGACCGCACTGCACCGCACTGCATCGCACTGCACCGCACTAGACCGCACTGCACCGCACTGCATCGCAGTGCACCGCACTGCACCGCCCTGCACCGCACTGCACAGCACTACACCGCACTCCACTGTCCTACACTGCCCCTGATGGCTGCTGAGCTTCGTTTTGATGCTGAGGGTCAGCCTCTGGAGTTCGAGGCGTGGTTGGCTGACCTTCGCCGCCACCTCACTGGTCAGCGGCAGGACGGCCACCCGCTTTCTGACCACCTAGACGGTATGCTCCCCTGCCCTGACCCCCCTGCTGTGCTGCCCGCTGATCCCACGCCCGCTGAGCGCGAGTCCACTGCCGCCGCTGCCCTTGCCCGCTCTGTCTGGCTTTCCCGCGATGCCCTTGCTCAGCTCGCCATTAGCAATGCCCTCCCCCCCCCTGAGCGCCCTCGCTTTAGAACCATTACTACCGCCCAGGCCTACCTTGATGCTGTCATCAAGCGCTATTCTACCCCTCCTGCTGCCTCAGTGGGTCGCCTGATCCTCCCCCTGCTCTTTCCTGACCTTGCGTCTTTCCCCACTGTCTCTGACCTCGCTGCCCACGTGCGCTCGATAGATGAGACCTGGCGCGCTGCCTGCACTGATGCACAGCTTAGAGTCCACCAGCCTCCCATGACCTCTACCCTCTACCTCCTTGCCACCCGCCTCCCTGACCGCCTTGCCGCCGCCCGCGACCAGTTCCTTAGCATCCACCTCGCTGCGCTCACCCTCACCGACTTTGTTGACACCCTGACTGTCATAGAGACTCGTCACCGCTCCATAGCCCAGGCGAGTGGTACAGTACCGGTCCCTATCTTTCAGGGTTGTGCCCCCGCTCAGTGTACCTTCTCCGACGGCTCTGTCGCTGTGGCTGAGACTGCTGCTGCAGTGCAGTCCCGCTCGGGGAAGGGCCGCCGCCCCAAGGTTGGGGGCGGCGGAGGCGGCGGGGGTGCGGGTGGGGGTGGTGGTGGAGTCGGGTCGTCCGGTGCCGGTGCGGACGTGGGGACCCTTCCCGGTCCAGCTGCCCCGCTGCCTCCACAGTTGCAGCAGCAGCAGCAGCAGCAGTCGCCGCAGCCGCAGCCTCCGCAGCAGCCGCAGCAGCCGCCGCAGACGAGGCAGGCGAGTGCTCTCCCGCCTGGGTGGCCTGGAGCTGGTGGTGGTCGTGCGCGTGGTGGTGCACCGGGTGGTGGTTCTGGAGGCGGGCCCTGTCAGTACCAGATCCAAACCGGTCCTCGCCGCGGCTTCGTTTGCGGTAAGATCGGTCATTCCACTCCTCGCTGTTTTCGTCGTCTGGACGACCTGTTCCGTCAGCGCTTTGGCCCGGCGCCCGACCTCCCGGATTGGCACAGCTTGCTTAGGCGTAGCATTAGGATATTTGACTTGGACATGGATGCAATTGTAGCAGCCTTGCATGTGATGTATGCTGATGACTCTAGTGTGCTTCCCTCTTATTACCCCGTGTTGCCTAGTGTAGCTGTGCCTAGCGTAGACTCCCCTGCTGCGTCAGGCGTAGGATCTCCTGCTTTGCTTAGCCTCGGTGCTTCCACCGCTTCACTGCCGCCCCGCGCGACTGCTGCGCTTTCCTTCACCTTGGACTCTGGCGCCTCCCGGTGTTTCTTCCGCGACTCCACGACGCTGACGCCGCTGCCTGTTCCCGCTGCAGTTACTCTTGCTGACCCCTCCGGTGGTCCCGTCGTTGCCCGCAGTTCCACCTCCCTTCCCTGTCCGGCGGTTCCTTCAGGTTCGCTCACCGGTCTGCATATCCCCTCGTTCTCCAGGAACCTAGTTGGTGTTGGCTGCCTCCAGGACCTTGGCGTCACCACTACGTTCCCTGGTCACGAGCGGTATGCTGTCTGTACCGAGGCCGCCACTGGTGCCCCCCTTACCACTTTCCCCCGGGACCCAGTGTCCGGCCTGTTCACACTTGACACCGCGACTTCCCCGGCTGGGTCTTCCCCCCAGGTAGCTGCGTCCACCCAGGTTGCTGCTGCGTGCTCCTGTCGGTCCCTCACTCACCCGACTCTCCTTTGGCACCACCGCCTTGGTCACCCTGCACTCCAGCGTCTGCGTCACATGTCCCAGCACGGTCTCGTCCTTGGTCTCCCCGGTTCGTTCCCCGAGTTTCCCTCCTCCCCCGCCCCCCCGTGCACGCCTTGTGTCGAGGGCCGGCTCCGCCGTGCCCCTCACTCCTCCTCTTTTCCCCCTACCACCGCACCACTGCAGACTCTGCACATGGACGTCTGGGGCCCAGCCCCGGTCCATGGGCCGCGTCGCGAGCGCTTCTTCCTAGTGCTTGTCGACGACTTCACGCGCTACACCACCGTCTTTCCCCTGGAGCGGAAGGCCGACGTGCCTGACGCTCTCATCCCCTGGCTTGTCTCTGCTCGTGTCCACCGCGGTCTCCCTGCCTTGCGCCTCCACTCCGACCGGGGTGGCGAGTTTGCCTCAGGTGTACTTGGTCGCTTCTGTCGTGCGGAGGGCATCACCCAGACGTTTACCCTGCCGGACTCCCCGCAGCAGAATGGGGTCGCTGAGCGACGCATCGGTTTGGTCATGGAGGTAGCTCGCACCTCCATGATCCACGCCG